GTGTGGTCATCCCCCCTGGGGGGTGATTTCTCACTTTCTGTCTCTCTGTCTGTCTGGCGAGCGCATGCGTCCTATAGTGAAAAACCTCTCAAAAAAAAAAGAAGAAAGAAAGAAAGAAAGAAAGAAAGAAAAGTTCATTTGCTTATTTATTATTTTTAAAAGTTGTCATAGGTTAGGCGCCAGCAGGTGGTATAGTGATTAAGGCACTGTTTTCCCACATGGCCTACTACAGTCCAAGCCCTGGACCCAGCTCCTTAAAAATCATCCCAGGCAGGGAACCAGCAGTTAGCGTAATAGCTATGTTGCTGGACTCCCACGTGGTCGACGGCGGTTCGCGTCCCGGACCCGGTGGCTTAAAACTCACGCCGGGCACGTGTGCGTGCGTGCCCAAGATCCCGAGAGGAGAATGGAGGAGAAGGGATTGCGGTGTGACCATCCCCCCTGGGGGATGATTTCTTGCTTTTTGTCTCTCTGTCTCTATCTGACGAGCGCACGCGCCCTATAGTGAAAAAACCTCTCCAAAAAAAAAAAAATCATCCCAGGCACATGTGTGTGTACCCCAAGTCCGGTGTGTGTACCCATCATCTTGAGAAGATAGTAGAGGAGAAGGGATTGCAGTCCTCGCCCCTGGCGGGTGGTTTCACACTTTCCTTTTCTTTCTCTCTCTAGCAATTCCACACATTCTATGGCAAAACCTTAAGGGAAAAAAAATTGTTGGAGGATCCTTTTTATTTATTTTTTTTAGAGGTTTTTGCTACAGGGTGTGTGCGCTTGCCAGAAAGACAGAGAGAGACAGAGAGACAGAAAGCGAGAAATCACCCCCCAGGGGGGATGGCCACGCCGCAATCCCTTCTCCTCCATTCTCCTCTCGGGATCTTGGGCACGCACGCACACGCGCCCGGTGTGAGTTTAAGCCACCGGGTCCGGGACTCGAACAGCGGTTGACTACGTGGGAGTCCAGTGACATAGCCATTATGCCAACTGCTGGTCCTGGAGGATATGTGTATTTTGGCAAAGAGACACAGAAAGAGAAAACACACCCTTAAGGGGGCATGATCATGCTGCTGTCCCATCTTCATCTTTTCTCTCTCTCTTTTTTTTTTTTTTATAATAATCTTTTTTTGGGGGGGTGGAGGGAAGGTTTTGCTATAGGGTGTGTACACTCACCAGAAAGACAGAGAGAAAACGAGAAATCACCCCTCAGGGAGATGGCCACTCAGCAATCCCTTCTCCTCCATTCTCCTCTTGTGATCTTGGGCACACACGCGCTCCTGGTGTGAGTTCAAGCCACTGGGTCCAGGACTCAAACCATGGTCGACTACATGAGAGTCCAGCGACATAGCCATTACGCCAACTGCTGGTCCCGTCTCTCCCTTCTTTAGGGATTCTGGCCACACACACCTGCCAGTTTCTCAAACAGCCAGGCCCAGGACTTAAACCGCATTGTCAGCCTTGTGGGATGAAGCGCTCTGAACCATGGCCACAGGCTGGCCTTGAACTTTCTTTCTTTCTTTTATGAATGAGAAAATGAGTTGTGGGTACTCTCAAGAGGGTGGCTTAAACTCACGCCGGGCGCGTGTGCGTGCGTGCCCAAAATCCCGAGAGGAGAACGGATCAGAAGGTATTTCTCGCTTTCTGTCTCTCTGTCTCTCTGTCTTTCTGGAGAGCGCACACGCGCCCTATAGCAGAAACCTCTCAAAAAAATGAAAAACTAAAAGCTACAGCCACTGAGGTCTGACTAGAGAAGAGGTCGTGGTGGAGACAATGACCCCAAAGTGGGCCTGGCCGACCTGGGCGCACAAGGCCCAAGCTGTTCCCACCCAGAACCTGGGGTCGGGGGAGCTCGGGCTCCACCGACCACCTAACCCTCTATTCTCCTTTGCAGCTTTCTGTACGAACCCAACAGCCAAGGGTACAAGTACTTCAGGCAGAAGTTGGAGGAGTTCCGAAAAGCCAAGGCCAGCCCCACGGGCCCCCTCACAGCACCCAGCCCCAGCCTGAAGTGCAAATCCCCACCCGAAGCTCCGACGGGATCCTCGCCCCCGGCCACCACCTGCCCCGCCTCATCCACCCCTACGCCCACCGTCACCCCCGCTCCTGCTGCCCCCGGGAAACCGGCCACCACAGCCACCGTAAAGAGGAAGCGGAAGAGCCGGTGGGGGCCCGAAGAGGACAAAGTGGAGCTCCCACCCGCCGAGCTGGTGCAGAGGGACGTGGACGCCTCTCCGACGCCTCTTTCAGGTGGGCCGACTCTTCCCCTCCCCGTTAAGGGTCTGGCTTCTTTCGCCGAGAAGTGTGTTTACGAGGTCCATCCACGTCGTAGGGTGGATGTCCTTTTCTGTGGCCGAATAACCTGTCGTGGTACTGGCTCTGTGGTCTAGTGGTTAAGGCAGCGAGCTCCCCCCGGCCAACACATCATGGAGGCTTGAGACACGTGTCAGGTGCACACGTATGCACACCCCAAATCCTGGCAAGATAGAGAAACAGAGAAGGGGTGGGGTGACCTTTTCCCATGGGGGTGCTTTCTCCCCTCTACACCACCTCTCTCTTTCTCTCTCTAGTGAGCGTACGCACCCTCTGGCAAAATTTTTAAAATAGTAATTATCTGTGCCTATGTACAAGGAAGTCTTCAAAAAACTAAAAAATACATATCGTGCTAAAACTACCCGGGACCAGCAGTTGGCGTAATGGCTACGTCGCTAGACTCCCATGTGTCGACCACAGTTCAAGTCCTGGACCCGGTGGCTTAAACTCACGCTAGGTGTGTGTGTGCGTGGCTAA